GGGGTGAAGTCTTCCATATGATTTTGACTCCAGGTTCCATGCTAAATATCATTCAGGTTATGAAAGTTCTAGTTCTTTTCTTCCAGTGATAAATTGATGTGCAAAAAGTTAAAAAAAAAAAAAAGAGGCACTTTTCTATTATACAAAATAAGACAAAGTCATCTGGTTTTGACTCTAAAACCCATGCTAAGAGTCATTCTGGCTTTTATAGTTTTAATTGTTACATCAGGGACAAATCGGTGTGCAAAACGGGAAATTAAAAATGTCTTTTCCATCCTATGGTATAAGAAAAAACATCTGATCTGGCTTTGGCTCTAAAATCTGTGCTGAAAGCGATTCTGGATTGAACAGTCCTGTTTCTGGTCTTCCAGGGACAAATCAGCCAGAACCAGCTTCCTATGAATGACTTTGATTTTTGTTTGAAGTCCGAGTATGGCTTCCAGACGAGACATGCAGAGTTTGATGGAGTGAATGCAGCACTGATCTGATCTGGAAGGCGGAGAGGGGGGTGCGGAGAGGCAGCCCCATTGCATGCAGCGTCCGGGAAGGGGCACACCACATTCCAAGGTTCATATCCTACAAGGCACTCCTTTTCTTCCTAATGGGACTGGAACTGCTGTATGGTTTCAATTCAGCGTGTTGCACCTGTAAAAACAAATAGAGAGCACGTTTGAGAAAGGTAACCCCAACTCGCTCCACTGTGTGTTAATGGCTCCCCAGAGAGAAATCAAAGAAAAACTAAGAAAGGTTCAATAGTAATGAATCATTTTCTAAACACAGCAACATGGGGGATTAATTGCAGGAAGGATTGGAAGAGTCACGGATCATTTCTTGAACACCAAAATATTAAAAACAGATTTTTTTTTTATTTTTTTTGGTCCTAATGATATGCACTAGAACATGGATGGGGAATACAAGAGCTTCCACCTGATTTTGGCATTTTGTAGGAAATATCTTTTCTCTCCTTTTGGATTACTCTTTCTTAGGGTTTGATTAAGGAACCAGGTTTCCCTCCTACATGCCACCACACACTGTTTCTTGAAGTTGGGGAAGATACCAAGATGCCCAGGTTTGTAAACTGAACACAAGACATCCAAAGTTTATCAAAATCTGGATGTGCCTCGACTGGGAAAAACCCAGTGACCTAAACTCTTTTTTTCCCCCTTCAACTGACTGACTTAAGAGTTGGAATCATTCATTTTTGGTTATACGTTCCACGTCACTTTAAACCTACTTGACCCAAATTAATATACATTCACTTTTATGGATCTGATAAAGTAGGTTCTGGTATATGAATGCCACCACAAATTTTCTTACATTTAAAGTGTTGCTAGAAACTGCTACTTCTATGAAAGTCTTGGTACTTGGACAGTTTATTCAAACTGAAAATCAATTCTGTCCTCTGTGACCCCATTACTTTTAAAACCAACAGTACCAAACAAAGCTATTCTATTTTATTTTATTCTATTTGCAACAGGATTATTAAACATAAACAACAGTCCTAGGAATCAAATGTCTCCTGTCGATTCCCTCTGTTAAACTTACTAATGACCTGGGGTGCTGGCACGCATTTTTACATGCTTTTTCACTTTCCTAGCTATTTTTTATCCATTCCCCACCTTTCCACCTCTCTGTATTTCAGAGGAAGGGAACTCGTTATAGATGCAACTCAAAACTCCGGGTCTTCATCAAAGAGCTTCGCTCAAGTCAAAAGATCACAGCACATGATGAAATAATTAAGAGATGATCCAATGCAAGATTCTTGGAGTTTATCTACCAAGAATTTATTCCGCCCCTACTATAGAACCATACAGGCAGATTGCAGAAAATTATATATATTTCACCTCTGGAGGTTTTCTTATTTATTAATTCAATCTCATTCACATTCCTAGGTGAAGACTTCTTGAAGGCCTAGGTGAAAAGATAGATCTTTAATGGGCATTTAAAATGCATAACAGAAGGTGCTTCTCCAGTATCAGGGCAAATGTTAACATAAGAGCCACAGGTCCTGCTATAATGTCCAAAGGGGTGTAACAACCGTAAAGAATTATATATGCCAGGAACTTCTTTTTCGTCTCTCCCCTCTGCATGCAAATTCTCTTCCTCCTCTCCTTTCATTTTCAGAGCTAGCCACATTTAGAGGTGCATTTGTGCCCAAAATTTAACTAACTAGATATTAACATTGATATTTTAACCATTTTTGCAAATCTAGGAGTCAAACTAGCCACGTTACTGACAGCGCAAGCCATATTGAGCAAGCCACTGTGGTGATTCACATTAAGCCATAAATCATGGTTAACCAATCCCAATGGCTGGTTCAAAAAAAACCCATTTGCCTTGACTGCACTTTGGGTGAAAAGGTGTGATACAATTGAGTAAATAAAAGAATAAGAACAGGCAAGTCAGAAACGAAGTGTGTGAAGGGGCCCGTTTCATGGTTGTGCTGATACCGACAATTTTTTAAGATCTCTTGGCTGCATTTATATTATATTTAATTTTTTGTACTGTTTTAAATGTTGACTGCTTTTATTGTTGTTAGCCACCCAGAGTCACTGGTCTGAGATGGGCAGCTGTATCAATTGAACAAAGAATCAAATAAATAAATAAAAGTATGGAAGTTAAAATTCAAAACCTC